TGGTGGGGCCAGCCCTATGGTCTTTTATGTGCATTGGCTGCACTGAGCAGGGATATCATCCTCAGAGCTTGGTGGGCCAAAATGTGCTCCACTCTCTCTCCCTCCCTCTTCATTTGCTCCTGTGTGCTCTGATCAGACATGCCCCTCTCCCTGAGCTGTAGCTTCAGGGCTGTCCTCTGAAGTGCATTCTGCTGCAGGGAGTAGGGGTTGGGGGGAGGGTGTCCACATAGTTGAGATAGGAGCCTGCTAATCACCTTATTTTTTGTAACCATCTGTTATGCTGTCATTTACCATCGACTCAATAGCAATCCCATCCAATAGAGTAGAAAACCCCATAAAATTTTCTTAATTTAATGTATGACAGGACATCACCATGACTTTCTGCCACAGCCACTAGGTGGGGTTAAGCCATTAACATTTCAGTTAGCAATCGAGAACTTAACCTTCGCACAACACGGATGCCTTTCTTCTATTGCAGCTGCTATTGGTGGTGCTTCTATATCCCAAGGGACACAAAATCAAACATATTGCTTAAGAAAAAATAAAAATCTCCTGATTTAAACTTCAAACTGGCTTACTGAACTTTTTGAACTTAAAACTGGCTTTCATAGCTCTAGGAAAACTGGGTTCAAGACTATAAAGAATGTTATCTCCTCAATCTGTTGCCTATCAATCAGCCCATAGATGCCCTCTCATTCTTTTTTTATTCACATTCTTACACTCTGCTTACTACATAATAAATTTATTTTCTAGCAAACACATCCCAAATGGGGCCCTAGCAAGAATGGCTACAAACTTAGAGCCCTCAATCTACAAAGGCCTGAGATACTTTTTTCCTAGTTTATTTCAGTCTGCTATCAATGACTCTGCCTAGTAGAGTGATATGAATGGCCAGCCGGGAACACCCCTGATAGGGAAACATTACCTGAGCCAAGCTCACTAGAGCCAAAAGGAATAATAGTTCCTAGAGAAAAAAAGGTGAGCTACAAACAACAACTATATATATGTGTGTGTGTGTATGTGTGTGTCTGTGTGTATATCCTACATATCCTATATATACATATATCCTACATATCCTATATATGTGTGTATCCTACAGCTAACTCTATATTCTCTTCCTCCTAAGGCTGAAGAAACTCTGCAGAAATACTTGATGTCTAAGGAGTCTATGATGGATTCAATTCTACAGACAGATCAGACCCTTACAGAAAAGGAAAAGGAGATTGAAGGTGAGGAGCAAGTCATAAAACCAGATAGCTTTCAAAATCTCTGGAAGGTTTAACTAATTTGACTGGAAACAATGAACTATTCAAGGTCAAAAGGCCGCATTTATCCAGAGATGAAGGTCAGATGGCAGGGAGAGGTAGGAAAAAAGGACAGCCAAAAAGAGAGGAAGTGGAATAAGTGCTCTACCCTATAAAGATTGCAAGCAATAGCATGAACAAAACGTGCAAATTGTCTAATGAAAAATCGATTTCCTCTTTAAGCTTTCACCCAAAGTACAATAAAAAGTTAAAATAATTAGCTAGAGACAGACAGACAAAATCTGGGGTCATTAAACTTGACCAAGAACAACAACATGTATTAGCTTCTGAAACTTTCCGAACTGTGTAATCTGCTTCTACTGTAGTATGGTTACCTAAAAGAAAAATCATTGTTGGAAATTTCATTTATGAAGCAAAAATTAAAATTGCATAGGAAAGAAAAAGGAGGCAACAGTGTAATCTTATTTTTTCCCTCCTTCCTTTTCTCCTCAGTGGAACGTGTGAAAACTGAATCTGCACAGGCTTCTGCAAAAATGCTGGAGGAAATGCAAATAAAGAATCAGCAGCTGATGGAACAGAAGGAAAAGAGCTATCAGGAACATGTGAAACAATTGACTGAGAAGATGGAGAAGGACAGGGCCCAGTTGCTGCAAGATCAAGACAGGGTTCTAGCTATTAAGCTTCAGGTAATTTATTACACCATCTGTGTGCTTCTGTTTTGTCTCTGTGTTCCCTGACCATAAACTTAGTGTGAGAGTGAGAATACAAAACGCAGAAGGAACTTGTATATTCACTTGTGTTTTTCGACCCGTGACGGATCTGAGCCCTACTTATGTCTGATTATTAACTATGTTATCGGTCATTATATCACATACTGTTCCTTCTCTGTATAACCCTAAATAAATGGTAGCTATTATCTTGTTGATAAATATCAAGGACTACAGCTTTCAGTATGAATTTTAACTCAATGTAAAGGAAACAAAAATGCTCAACACTGGACCAACAGGCATTATGATAAACGAAGAAAAGAATGATGTTTTCAAGGATCTCATTTTACTTGGATCCACAATCAATCAGAGAAGCAGCAGTCAATAAAGTGAACTGTGTATTGCATTAAGCAAATCTGTTGCACAAGACTCTCGTGTTGATGAATAAGGATGCCATTTGAAAACTAGGTGCGCCTGGCCCAAGCCATGGTATTTTCAAATGCCTCACATGCATGTGAAAGTTTGACAGTGAATAAGGAAGATCAAAGAAGAATTGATGCATTTGAATTATTTTATTAGTAAAGAATATTGAAATACCGTGGACTGCAAGGAAAACTTAACAGATCTATCTTGGAATACAGCCAGAATGTTGCATAGAAGCAAAGATGGCAATATTTCATCTCACATATTTTGGACATTTTATCAGGAGAAACCAGTTCTTGGAAAAGGACATCACACTTGGTAAAGTAGCAAGGCCGTGAAAAAGAGGAAAACCATCAAGGAAATAGATTGACACAGTGGCTGCAACCATGCGCTTAAGCCGAGCAATGATTATAAGTATGGCGCAGGACAGGGCAATGGGTCTCTCTTTTGTGCGTAGGGTCAAGATCAGTAGGAACTGACTTGATGGCACTTAGCAGCAACCTTGTCCTAAGTAGGTTGACATTCACATAGCAGCTGCTTTTGAACCTCACACAGCATAGAGCATCCACCCCCAGCAGCTGTGAGAGTTGGCTGCCATATGGTCACATCACCTCTTTTGGGAGATACCTGGGAATGTGTGACCCCTAATGTCCCTGTTTCTATAAAGAGTTTTCCTAAGATGGTATTCTCAGTATATTACCTGCACAGTAATTCCCATCTTAGGCTTTTCTTATAGGAACCTAACCTAAGAAAATTGTTATTAGGCCAAAGACCCTCCAAGCACCAAACTGAAGACATACATAGTCCATCCTACAGCCAGTCTCCTTCCTTATTCGCCTTCTTCCTGTCTCAGTGTTGAGCTCAAAGGCCCACTCCTCAGGGAAACTGGTAACACATATTCTCACAATAACTCTCTGAAATATCTGGAAATGGCCCTAAAGTTATATAATTAAGAACCATTTACTCAAGAAAATCTACCAAACGTCAGTAAGAATAGTGAGTATGTCCTATTTGAACCCAGAGCTGCACCTTCTCCTCTTACTCCCAACTCAGTGAGATGGAAACTCTGCTCTAGTCTGCTGAAGCCAAGAACAGAGTGTCCCTTCCACCACCATCCCAGTCAGAAAGCTGTGTCTCTGAGAGTGGTAGAATATAAGCATTTCGTATACTGTTTCTAACTACTTCCCTTCTCGCTCAGCAAACAACAAAAAATGCATTACCATTAAGACAATTCTAACTCATTCTAAGACTGTAAATCTGTACAGAGCAGTTAGCTTCATCTTTCTCCAAAGGAGCAGCTGCTGGGTTTGAACTGCAAGTCTTTTGGTTAGCAGTCTACAGTTTATCCCAGAGTGCCAACAGGGCTCCTAAATTCCAGGCAAGGGCAGCTGAGAAATGAATGCTCAGTTTTCCCTCAGACCTCCCACTCATAGGCTAGTGTCTCTACCTTGGACACAGCACCACTGGTCATTCTAAGACCCTGCTCTTCCTTGTCCTGGTTAATAGGCTAGGGGTTATACATAAGAAAGACTAGATGTGAAAACCTGGGCTTCTGTTCAATTGGTTCTCTGCTGCTCACTCTAAAGCTGGGATGTCATTCAGAGAGAAACCATTGTCCTTCCTCAGAGCAAAAGAGCCATGGTCCAAAGGTTTTTCCCTAGAAAGAGAAGCAAACTATGGCATAGAGTTCCAAATCCCTAGATGGAACTTTTATGTGATTTTACGTGAACTTGGACTTTTATGACAGTGTAGGTGTAGAATCCAACCTGCCAACTAGGTCACAGCCTGATGATGCCTCCTTGTGGGTGTGGCCTTTTTATAAGCAGGGAATCCGGGAACATCCCTCTTGCCTGCACCTTTGCCAGGACTGGGCCATAAGACTGACAGTTGTCAGCACCAATGATACTTCTAAGACCCTGATCTTCCTTGGATGCACAAACACTGCTCATAGAAACAGCAAGCAAGAGATCAGATGAGACAATGCATTGCTTAAATCTACTGCACAAGACCTCTTTTAATTGGTGAAAAACAAGAATGTCACTTGGAAGACTAAAGTGTGCCTGACCCACGTCAAAGTATTTCCAATCACCCTGTATGCACAATGAAACTGAAGAAGAATCGGTGCATTTGAATTAGAGTGTGGATGAAGAATATTGAAAGTACCATGGACTGCCAGAAAAATAAACTAATCTGTCTTGGAATAAGTACAGCCAGGATACTCATTAGAAGTGAGGATGGTAGGGAGGGGGATTAAAAAAAAAAAGGAGCTGATACCAAGGGCTCAAATAGAAAGTAAATGTTTAGAAAATAATGATGGCAACATATGTTGAAATATGCTTGATACAATTGATGTATGTTGTAAGAGCCCCAATAAAACTAATAATAATACTAATTAATTAATTAATTCAAACACAGCCCACCCCAAAAAAGAAGTGAGGATGGTAAGACTTCATCCCACATATTTTGGACATGTTATCATGAAAGACTATATCACTGGTCATTAGAAAACAAAAAACAGAGGTTCAGCAATGTTAAATAACTTCCACTGTGTCACACAATTTAGTAGGGTGTCTGGTCTATTTTCATCCCTTATTAGAGTCTACACTGTTTTGACATTATTTCAAATGTCATCCCAAGTTTGACTTTAGTTCTAAAAGAACCTTTAGGAGACCTTGACCCTTTAACCTTTAGAACACCTTAACCCTTTAACCCAGTGGTTCTCAATCTATGGGTCATGACTCCTTTGGGGGTCAAACGACCTTTCACAGTAGCAAAAGTACAGTTATGAAGTAGCAATGAAAATAATGTGATGGTTGGGGGGTCACCACCACATGAGGAACTGTATGAAAGGGTCGCGGCATTAGGAAGGTTGAGAACCACTGCTTTAACCCCTTTGAGCACACCTGTGTGACCACCTGCCCCTCCAACAAGGCTTTCTGTTTCGTGCTTCAAGACAGTATTGAGCCTAAATTTATTTGCCTAAATCCAAGATGACCTAATTTCATGTAGACGAGAGGGGTGTGGATAAAATTCCCTGATCTAAGATTCTGACATATCAGATTTTGAGAACGCTGTGTTTATTTATGTGCTACGTGTGTGTATGTATATGTCGGTATATAAAAGAGTCTATAATTCATGGATAACATTTGAAACAAACATATTAATAAGATTGTTCACAAATACGTATTCAATTAACAGAAAGAAAGGCAAAGATTGGTATTATAGGTTCAACAATACCTCAGGAGGCATAAGCTGCAAATTCTTCTTTAACTAAAGAATAACTAGGAGAGAATGCTCAAGAGAAAATACAATGAAAGTTGGGGTTGGGGAAAATGTCAAAAGTCAAATACTGAAAATATCCATAAATGTGGAAACGGAAAAGAAGGTAGAGCTTTTATACAGTGCTGCACTTTATTAAGCTTCCATTCATCTCTCTTTAGGAACAGGCCCAACTCCTCAAGGAAGGATTCCAAAATGAGAGTAAACGGCTGGAAGCTGAAATAGCGACGCTCCGAAACAGAATGCAACCACCACGAAAAAGATGCACCATAAGTTAGAAACCTGAAGAACAGACCTCTTCCATCCCTCTTACCCACTGCCAAACTTAGAATTTGTAAGGTAGCTTACTGAAAAACAGATCTCATTGCATCTGATAATAATTCAGTCTTGCATTTTTGTAACCCCCTAAATTTGCAAAGACAGGCAATACTATGGTTGAATTCATGTTTACTGTCCTAAAGAGATTCTAAATTGTGTAGCCAAACAAACCAAACTCACTGCCATCAAATTGACTCCAGTGCATCGTGACCCTAGAGTAGAACTGCCCCTTTGAGTTTCCACCACTGTACATCTTGACTAGAGAGCCTCTTTCTTTCCCCACAGAGTGGTAGGTTTGAACCGCTGACCTTGCAGTGAATAGCCCAACAGCTAACCCATTACACCACCAGGGCTCCTGAATTGTGTAACAAAAATGCATTTTACCTTGAGACCAACAAAGAAAGTGTCAGAAACTAGCACTATTCAAAACCAAGCCATTGCCTTCAAGCCAATGTTGAGTTACAGAGATTCTAGCAGAGTAGTACTGCTCCATAGGCTCTCCAAGGCTGTGAATCTTAACAGAAGCACATTGTCTCACCTTCTGCCTCAGAGAGGATGGTGGGTTCAAACCACCAACCATCTGGTTAACAGACCAATGGTTGATAAACTTCAAGGGGAATCAGTCTTTCAAATGGTCACCAATAGACAGGTGAATGATGAGCAAAGCCTTAAGGAGACAATTTCAGGTTCAGGACATAGTTTGTCAAAGTTTACAATGGATCTCAATGACAGGAGAAACCACTCTAGCTTTTTGGTAAACACAAGGTGCCATTCCCCTCTGGGTTAAGATTACAATCTGTTAATGGTTGTGTGATTTCTGGGCATTGGCAATGGACAATAACCACTGATGACTTCCAAGCTAAATCAACATAATAGGGAGACCTTGACTATGTAATCTCCATAGGAAAATGAGACTGAGCATCACCATGGGGTAGGAGTTTAGTTCTTAGCAAATATACTACAGAAGGAAACATCTTTTCTTCTTTATTTCACCCAAATTATCATTTTAACATGACATCTAGACCTTTGAACTTACACCGGAATAAACCCAATAAGATGATGACAACTGGATAGAATGCATTTATATCAATGTGAAAGGCACCCTGGTGCTATAGTGGTTATGCATTGCGCTGTGATGCACATGGTTAGCAGTTCAAAACCACCAGCTGCTCCGAGGGAGAAAGATAGGACTTCCTACTTCCGTAAACAGTACAGTCTAGAAACCTAACAGGGGGATCACTATGAGTCAGCACTGACTCTATGGCAGTGAGATGTGACCAAAGTGTACTATGCAAACATCAACTTTAAATGGAAAATGTGATAGAAAACTGAGCTATTTTAATTATTTGATTGCTTTTCATCTTAAATATCAGGCTACTGTTTTCCCAATTCTGAGCATGAATATTTGAAAGCCTACTTGATATTCCCTAAAGAAAATATAGATTGTTTTGGTGTTATTTTTCCAATTACATAGTGTACTTATTATTACCCAAACATATAACCTGTTTCCCAATTATTAAAAGTCCTGAATAAGTAGTTGATGCTACTCAGAGTCATTTTTTAAGGCTATAATGAAATATATTTCATTTGACATTTTATTCCTGACTTTTTTTCTGTTTTTCACCCCCCAAATAAGAATTTAGTCTTTATACCAGTGGTAGGGTACTTTTCTGAAAAGAGCCACCTAGTAGATATTTAAGGCTATATAGACAGGATAGTGTCTGTCTCAACTACTCAGTTCTGCCACAACAGTGCAAAATTAGTAACAGACAATACAAAAATGAATAGGCATAGCTATGTCCTAATAAAACTTTATTTCCAAAACCAAATGATGCCCAAAAGGGCCACCATAGTTTGCAGACCTCTGCTTCATAGGAACATTGGATAAAGCTCTACATGCTTGCTTTATATTGCTTACGGTAATTTTTTAAAAACCATACAGGTTGGATTGTATGATCGAGGGTTTCAAAAGTTCTTGGAAAATGGAATTGAAAGATCATGAAAATTTACCATTTACTTCATGAAACCCCCTTGAAGATGATAACATCTTGTAAAAATTACTCAGTGTCTCACAATACTGTATAATGAGAAAAATGTAAGAAAGCAGTTAAAAGCATTAAGTCAACATTCACAAATTTGCCTTTTCTGGTTATTTTGAAGCCTTTTATTACTTTGAAACCCCACCCCATGAGACAGAGAAAAAGCTCCTTCCACATTGCGCATGTGTGCTTCTGCGCAGCACACCTTCACGTTCCTGAAGTTCACTGGAAGGCAGGAGGCACCACACTTATTAGATGGAGCATTTACTGCCATAAGGGAATAAACAAAACATACCATTAATGGTCAAAGAAACCCTGATGGTGTAGTGCATTACACGTTGTGTTGCTAACTGAAAAGACAAAGAAACATCATGGTAGAAAAGAATAACTCTAATTTCAAAAACAAATAGTAGTTTGTTTATTAGCCATTTAAAAAGTAGAAAACCAGACCTGCACAGCTAAGGCATTCGTTCCTAGCTTGGTAGTATCGGAGTCTAGACACCATGTCAAATCATCTAACTTCTGGTTTAGTGCTTGCAGGCAGTGAATGATTTCATATGGATCCGTATTGTGAGCATTGTCTACGTTCTGTGTGATCACGCGGAGGAATCTTGAGCCCAGCTGACAAGCAGCACTGTGAGAGAGACACTTGGTGTCAGAATCGTTAAGAAGGTTGGAGGCTGAAAGCATGTCTGACCTCGGCCTCATAGAAATCTGCCTGAGACAATGTTAACGTGGAGTTTGACTTTCTCTTTTCCTTTGTAGAGATCCAGGAGGTCAGGTGCCACCCCATCTCACTTATGTTTGCAGTACTTTGTCCGTAATAGCGCCAGAAATAAAATAAGGCTTTTCTCTCCGAGGAGGCATAGGGCTTTCCCCCACGGTGCTGAACCCTGCTGTGTCTCCAATAAATATATTCAACAGAAAGTTTCTTTGACCCCTTCCCTCTCCTGGGTTTTCTGTGATAGTAGGTCAGAGACGGATCACTGGATAGTTTAATGACAATAAAGGGGTAATTCAAGGATTTCACACTCCCAGTTTGTTGAAGCTCCCACAGGTTAGGGCCTCTATTGCCTTATTGCCTGACCCCTGTGATGTCTCTCTGTCATATGTATATATAATCTCTTTGTAAGTGACAGGTATTTTCCTTCGATGGGAGTATAAAGGGAATACATAAATGTGGTGCAGTTAGTTATTTGATATGGCTCTTCTAGACATAGTCTTTGTACCTCCCACCAAATAACTGGGTGAGACCATGTAGATTGGGCGTATTTCCTGGTTTGCTGATGGACCTAGATAAAAGAAGGGGATCCAAGGAGGAGATGCTCACAGGATTATATAATTCAGTTGTGAGCGATTGTTAGCAGGGTTGATGTGATTGCAATGGGAGCCATTTCAGAAACAAGGACCAGGAAATTTCATCACCATCCAGAAAGAAGAGACAATGTTTTGGAAATGTTGATGGCAACATATGCACAAGTGTGCTTAAAACAATTGATTGATGGATGTCATACAATTTATAAGAGCCCCTCAATAAAGCGATTAATAAAAAGAAAGAAGAGCCAGAAATGGAGTGCATCCTTTTAAGCTTGAAACCCCTGCACATTGAACCTCTTTGATCCAGGGACACAAAGCTGTGACTCAAAAGAAAAATGCAAAATATTGTGGCCGAACAGCAGCAGCAGAACCAAGAACCAGAGCATGAGACAGAACCGTGGGCTACCTGGCCCAGGGAGCAAGTAAAGCTAAGTGCCCTTGGACAGGAGGCTGGCTTATAGAGTGGGCTGCCTCCAAGGTCTTCTGGAGGAGCTAGATTTGTTCTCCCCTGGAGTTAGACCCGAGCACCATCTGGCTGGGGCTTATGGTAGAGTGATGTGTTCTTGGGCATTTATTGGCAGACCTAAAAGAGTTCTGTAGCACTACCTGAGCAAGGCATAGGCAAAGGGACCATGTGAAAAGTCAAGGATCAGACACAAGCATGCTGACAGGCAAGGCTTAGGAAGAGGCTGTCCTGATCAAATAACTGTGTTCTGAGCATTTATGATCCTGAATTGTAATCTGCTAACTTCCCCCAATTTGTAATCAGGAGTATGGTCTATGAGGACTGAGTGGCCATTGTAATGAATTGTTGTATGTTTGGACCGAGCCGAGGATGCTATGGGAAGGACAACTGGTGTCAGAATTGACAAAGATGATTGGAGGATGGAGGCATGTCTGGCCTTCATCATATAGGAACTGAACCTTCAGTTGATGAGCTGAATTCTCTGTGCATTCAAAAGAAGGAAGGACACCACCTTCCTCCATTTTTGCAATCAAACACTGAGATCCCTCACTACAACCTGTCACACATGTTCAGGTGAATAGTGATAAACTAAGCCAATTAGAGGATGTATTCCCTGGAAAATAAGCATAGATATAAAGTTTTAAGAATTGTTTAACTATATGGTAAATCAAATAAGCAAACTAAATATCACCATTATGATATGAAGTATTTTGACAAATTAGATGAAGTGTCAAAAGTATTTTGACAAATTAGACAAATTAAATGAAATTAGATGAAATGTCCCCCAAAGTACAAATTATGCCAGGAAGCAATCCAATGAACTAATGAATCGCACACATAAACATCTGTCACCACGATCCTGAGACCAAAATCATTACATTAGACCCGGATTACTACTACCAACTGCTCTGAAAAGATCACATTTGAGGGGCCTGGGAAGTGTAGAAGAGAAATGAGGAACAAAACTCAGGATTATAAAAGACATCTGACTGAAAAAGAGACAGGTTTGAAAAGAGACAGGTTGGATACCCAAGACTATAACCCTTAGTTACCCTTAGTTATACCCAAGACTATAACCCTTAGTTAGCCTGAAACTGAACTCACACCTCTGGTAAATCATCTACCATTTAGGATCAAAGGGGCAGCATTTGCCAACATCAAAGTTTAGAACGTTTAGGGAAGGAGGAGGAACGGACACAGGAAACAGAGAAAGCAGAACAGGTGATGATGCAATGAAGGATTGCAGTGGTTGAGTCAAAACAAAAAGTTGTATGAGTTGATGGATAGAAAACTGGTGACCTGCTCTGTAAACCTTCACTCAATTCATAACTTAAATTAAAAAAAAAAGTTAAGCACAAGTTACCAAACCCACCCATGATGACATAAACCAAAGTCAAACAAAAGATTGCCATCTGGTCAATTCTAACTCAGTGACCTGTCAAGGGTTTCTGAGCTGTGTATCTCTCCGGGTTCAGATAGCCTCGTCTATCTCCTGCAGAGTGGCCCAATGCCTAATCTATGGCACCAGATAGCCTAAATTGTGCTGTGACTTTGAAAGAAATTACATTTCTAGGGAAAAATCCTCTGAAAAGCAATTTTCTAGTTCCATATGGCCCTGCTCACTAGTAAATTTTACAAAGCAAGAAAAGAGCACCAATCATACACAATTTCCTCCAGAAAAAAAGTGGGATATAAGTATGAGAGACCTTCGAAAAAGTTCAGACAATTCCATTACATAGCTCAATCATTTTTTTAAATTTCTTGATATCTTGGTTTTTAGGCCTGTTCCTGGGGTTATTTGGGGGCAGAGATTCAGAAAATTGCATTGGATAGACATCATCAGCTCTAGTTTCTTAGATATGGTTGAATTTATAAAATTGTATTCAACTCATCCAAGACAGATAAACCCCTCAGGACCAATATTGAGAGTAGAGATACCAGGAGGGGAAGGGGAAGGTAGGAGGAGAAAGGGAGAACTGATCACAACGATCTATATATACCCACCCCCCAGGGAGATGGACAACAGAAAAATGGGTGAAGGGAGACAGTGGTCGGCATAAGACATTAAAAAAAATTTGATGAAGTATCAAGGGATCATGAAGGAGGGAGGGTGGGGAGTGGGGGGAATGAGCTGATACCAAGGGCTCAAGTAGAAATAAAATGTTTTGAAAATGATGATGGCAACATATGTGCAAATGTGCTTGACACAATGAATGGATGGATGGATTGTGATCAGAGCTGTACAAGCCCCCAATGAATTTTTTTTAATTTATTCCACTCTTTAAACATTCTCTTCTGCAGAATCAGTATGTCACAAGAGCTTTCATCTTTCCATGAGAAATTTACATATTTAAATTATCCATAGTTTGTGTGTGTGTATAAGGACTTTAGTTTCACAACTTCTCATCTACTTCCTTTCCTATAATGCACACTGTTCTACACTTGGATCTTGGATCCATTCGCCTTTTCATGAGCTACCAATGGTCTCAGAGGATGAGGCTTTCATGTTTGATATGGCACTAGGTAAATAAAGTGGGTGCAGTCCCAGTGATTTCCAAACACCTTCACACGGTGAACGTTTTGACCAATGAAATGAGTGATCTGAGATGGGACTAAATCTTTCCAAAGAGTCTTATGATTTGCTTTCCTCTAGACTAAAGGAAAAGAAGGTGCTTCAACCTGAAATGAAAAGTTAATTTTATCAAAAGAGTAAAGGATTTGCAGCTATCCTATACTGGAGACAACAACTTAGGATTCTGCAATAACATCGGAAACC